GCTCATGCTCCCTCTCTCTCAAATAAATAAAAAATCTTTTATAAAAAAAGATATCTGATATCTTTGTTAAAAAAATTAAAAAGTGTATATTTTAAAAAACAAAATATTCTAATTCTCTACCACTTTTGATTATTTGTGTTATCTTTCATTTTTGTGAAGAGATTCTAACATTTAATAGATATTATTCAGCCCCAATTCCTCAAGGTCAGGGGGTTGGTTACTGTAAATTTGTGGAGAGAAGGCTCTAAGGAATTTACAGAGTCTCAGCTTCCCTATATCTGCAGGGATGTAAGTTAGCATCCCTGTATCCTAAGCACTCCTTCCCGAAGTACATATAAGTACAAGTAAGCAACTTGGACTAAGTTATCATCTTTTTGTTTGACCCTCCCTCTAAAAAGTTTATTTTGCTTCTGCTGTTTCAAAACATCTTTGATAAAATGATGATAGCATTTCTGATCTGTTGTCTGTTTTCAAAAGAGCTAGTATTATTAAGGGCTGCTTACCATTCATCTTTCTGATGGTACAAAAAAAAAAGTCTGATTTTATTTGGCTTGAGCACTCATTGTCCTTCCACACAGTGGCACCTATGGGGTCATTAGCAAAATTAGATAAGTAACTGATTTATTATTTCCATAAATGCATGGTGCATTCCCTTTACTTAGAGTGTACAGCAAAAATTGTTCATGCTAAGGAATAGTAATCAAAGTGACTAAAAAGGCACATTTTTATCATTCAAAACATAAGCATAGCTGTGGTGGTATCTTATCATAGTACATAATAATAGAAATGAATTATGTCAGTAAAATCTTGAGGTTTAAGATTTAGCGTGATAAATGTTTTTCATTAAAGTGAAATATCTTGGCAGAGTCACTTTCATATGCAGACTGTGACACAAGGAGGCCAGCTGTGCCCATGCAGATGCTGAGATTTGGGTCTATATTATTAATGATTTATCATGTCATGGAGAGCTTAGGTTAGTTTTGAAAGCAATCCCTTGCCACAAAAGCACTTTCTATAATGTGTGAACGCAAGGAATTGTATATGTGCATTCCAAATTACAGTAGCTACCTTTGAAATTTCAATACCTCTTTTTTTATTCTGGAACATGAAATTCTAGATCCTAAACTGTATTATTCATTAAAATTCATACAAAAATGGTATTTCATATCCACTGGATAGTGAGTAGTGTATCTGAATTAACAGATCTATAGACATAGATGAGGGAATGGAACAAAAAGGTATTGCAAACCTATTGTATACCATGTGCTTTTGCGCTAAGACTCACATTTAATGTGAGGTTGGATTAAGTTTCCCTTTCAATTCTGCAGGCTTCCAAGATTGCACTGCCTTCAGGGCATGTATAATAACATTAGCTAATATTTATTCAGTGCTTGCTGTGTTCCAGGTAAGATGCTAAGCACTTTACATGCATTATCACATTCAGTCTTCATAAGTCCCATTTGAAATATTGTTATCACCCCTGTTTCACAGATGAGAAGACTAAAGCACAGTGTAGTCAAATAAATTATCCCAAGAGAGGAGGAGCATGGACTCGAATCCAGGTTGTCTAATGTTTTACAGCCTTCACTATTAACTACTACTATTAACTGTGACCTCGCTATTAAACACGGTTACAACTAAGCAAGAGTTAGGGTTCAGGTCCTACTTAGTTACTGCCTGTGTGCCTTAGGCAAGTCACGTGAACTCTGTAAGCTTCGTTTCCTCTTCTATAAAATGAAGATAATAATAGTACTTACCTCATAGAATTGTTGTGAGTTAATATTTATAAAATGCTAAGAACAGAGTTTGGCACATATTAAGCACTAAAGCTTTGTGCTGTAGTAGTTAATGAGTTGTACTCTTTGATGATTGATATCCTTTCATTGACTACTACACGCAGATTCTCTATACTTTTCAGATAGCTTTTATTCTGAAAACAAGATTGGGAATGAAACATAGAAATTAAATTCTGAATTTTACTCCTAAAGGAAACAAAGGACTGTGAATTAAGTTACTACTTAGCGCTAATGGGAGATGTATGCAGATAACACTAAAGCATCATCATCACTAACCATCTACAGCAGTGAGTCCTTTAAGTATTCTTTCTGAGTGTGGAAAGAGCCAGGTATCTTCCTTCCTTTCCTCTTTCTTTCTTCCTTCATTGCTCACTCACTCAACCAATATCCTTACAAGGATACTCTGCTTGCTCAGGGGATACAGGTGAATAAATCCCTACTCCGGAGGAGCACACAATCTAGAGATGACTATACTCTCTGGTTTAGCACATAAAAGAATATGAGAAAGTTGTAAGCTCCCTTACCTGACCTGTTTCAGAAGTATTTATTGGGCGCCCAGTAAATGCCAGGCACTGTGCTAGGCAAGGTCAAAAGGCAAGAAGCACCCAGTAGAGAAGACATCCTAAACAGGTATTTTCCTGTCAATGTGGTAAATTACACAGATGAACTTACTGGGAGAGCATAGAAAAGAGGTGCTTAAACCCATCCCGGAGCTAGTGGGAGGAGGGACATTCTGACACCTGGACAAAATTTTTGGTAAAGGTGAAGAAAAGCAGAAATTAAAGTACCTGAAATTATGGGGAAAGAGCAGCCCTAAAAGCAGAGACACCACAAGTGAAGACAGGCGACATGAAGCAGTGTGACACGGTGGGGAGCTACCAGCGGCCATGCGATGCTAGAGCCTAGCATGGATGTAAAGTGGGACGTGCGCCGGAGGGTCGCACTAGAGAAGTAAACGGGGCTGAAAGGTTAAAAGTGTATAAAATCAACGGAAAGGACAAATGCTAACAAACTGCATAGAGTGAGCACTTCCCTTACACTTCTTCTCACTAAAATCCAAATGAAAAGAATGTCATTTTCCTGACTATCAAGATTCTGGGAACCAAGGAGATGATGAATGCTTAAGAGTAATGTCTTGATCCCGACCAAAAGATACAAGGTGTCTTTCTTTCCATGTCAGTGGATTGTCTACTTCCCTACTTCTCTGCCCCAGGGAACCAAACATCGAGATTGGCTCAGAGACTGATACTTAGACTGAAAAAATGTCTAATCCTTGGCTCAAAATGACCTATTAGCACATCCTTCTGCAGCCTCAAAGTTTTTTTTATTCCTGGATTTAAGAACTCAGTCCACGATAAACTGGGTGGTGCTCTGTAAAGTTGGCCATCGTGGAGTTTCAGCAAAGAATTCAGGAATCTAAAGAATTGAACTTTTTTTCCCCCCCTTTGCTGCTACTGTAGACAGACAGTTCCTAAGCTTTCTGCCTCCAGGTGGGTGGCAATTTGACTCTCATGGAAGCCACTGGTCATCCCCTTGCATCTTCATTCAGTGCACAGAGCCCTCTGCCTGCAAGTGGGGCCTGCTCCCTTGATGGAGAAAATGCGGGAGGGATGACTGGATGCCAGTAAACCAGGCACAGCTTTCTGGGTCAGAAGTTGGCTGGGGAAGGGCTCAGACTGCCAAGTAACTTGCAATGATGTCAGAACCCAGCACAACCAGAAAACACCAGCCAGCCAGCCAACAAAAGCCCTCACAACAACAGAAAAATCACAGAGCAGCCTTGCCAAAGCTGTTCTTTCCGCCCCCTACCCTTTTTTCCCAATAGGAAGAACAGCAGGAAGAGAGTTTATATTTTAAAACACTCTCCCTCCTCCTCCCTCCTTCTTCCTTTTGGTAACAAAGTGTTACCTAGTGAGGAAACAGTTCTCCGGATGAGTCCCGATGCAGTTCCTTGGGGTGTCTTTTTTGAGTTCGTTTTCAAGGCTGTCAGTGGAAGTTTCAGAAACAACTCAGAACAGGGTATTTTTCCTAAATGTAAACATGTAACTTTGTGCAGGGGAGAAAGCAGGGACCATTGAGGAAAGGAAAATCCTTTCTCAAGTCCCTTCTTCTCTCTTGCCTGGTAATTAACCATACTCAAATGAAAATTAAAAGTTTGGCGAAAAACCTCTCTTCTTTTTTTTTTTTTTTAAATAGAGATATCATGGTTCATTCCAGCCATTTAGAGCCTTCCGTGATTCATAATTCAACTGGAAATTAATAAAACACAGCCCCTGTTCTTGGAAATGAAGTTTGGATTAAAATCCTCTTGTTTTGGAATATATGGCCTTTTTTTCCCTTTCATTTGTGCCAGTCAATTTTAAATGATGTCACTTCAAGGACATTTTCATTTCTCCCACAACATATTACACGAAACACTTGCCTGTAAAACCGGCTCATTAGCCTGCAAAATTATACTGTACTGAATGGCTTTCATTCAAAGTAGAAATGGGATTTTTAGTAGGCAATTTCTGTATTTTGTAAAGATAAAGCCATGTTTGATTGCTTCTTCCCAGCTGTTTTGCTTAGTGGTTATAAAGAGAAATTGGAGGGGGGTGGGGGACGAGAAAGGTAATATGGGGGCGGTTTTGTAAGGATGTGCTTAAAAAATAAATCTTAGATTAGGAAACCAAGGCCGAACTTTACAGAGCAACTGCGTCTGCAGCTCCTCTGGGCTGCAATGATTTGTCCTCTGGATGTCTGGAGGAAAGCTGTGAAAAAAAAGTGAGGGAAGGAGAAAAAGAGGGAAAGAGGGAGGAAAGCGAGAAGGCGGCTTCGCAGGCTGCAGCGGCCACCGCGAGCCGGATGACTGAGGCTCTGGGAGTTGCTGGAAGGAGCAGCCCTTCAGAGGTGGGAGAGGGAGGGTGCGCCGGGGAGGAGGGACGCGGGGGCCACCCAGGGGTCAGCGGGGCCGCGGCGCCGGGCCGGGGGCCTCCAGGCGGCGCTCGGCCGAGGGTGAGCGCGCCGGGCCGCCCGCGCCTCCTGCCGTCCGCGCCCGGGGGTGGGCCCCGCGTCGCGAGCTGCCTGGTGCGGGGAGGGAACCAGCTCCGGCTCGCCTGATGGATTGACTTGGAGATGGATCGAATTACACCATTTGCCTTGCCTCGATTTGTTTTGCTCCCGCTCCGTCCCGCTGCTGCTGCCGTCCCTGCTGCAAGGCTGGTGGTGGCGAGTTTCAGGATTATATCGAGCAAGCCAAGACCTAAAGAGAAAGACGGATTTTTTTCTTTATTTTCTTTTTTTCCCTGCGCGTGACGAGCTGCTTTTCTTTTTCTTTCTTTTTTTTTTCTTTTTTTTTTACTAGCCGACCCCCCCTCCCCCCGCCCCATGAGGTAAGACTGTCTTATAATCTGCTAATGCTCTGGGCGCCTGGTGGGGATCGGACTCAGATCCTCAGAGCCTGAATCGCAGCCCGTGTATGTGCGTGTGCCTGTGTGCGTGCGTGCGTGTGTGTATGTATGTGCGTGCGTGTGTGTTGTCACTGGAGAGTTGATTTCTCTTCCAAGCAGCCCCGTCCGCCTGCCGTGCAAGGGACGCGCAGCGGGCCGGAGAGGTTTGTCGGACTGGTCCAAACTGGCATTGCTGGAGGCTTAGGGGGAGGGGCACGAGGACTTGGAGGCCCCCTCCACTGTGCACACCCCCCCCCGAAAAAAAAAAAGCGAAAGGAGGGGGCAAGTAAAAGTTTCTTGCCAGGCAGAGCCGGCTCCGCGCTCTCCCCGCACATTCTCAGAGGGAACGCGGGCTGCTGGCTGCTCGGGCACGGCGTCTCCAGCCAGCGCGAAAGCCGAGCCGAGGCCGAAAGAACCGGCCGCGGGCTCGGCCGCCCCCTTCCGCCCGCCCGCCCCGGAGCCGACGCTGGGACCGTCGGGGTCGCGCGGCGCCGGCAAGGCGAGGAGCGGACCAGCGGGCATTCGCCCGCGCTCGAGGAAGGGGCGCAGAGCCGCCGCCGAGACCCCAGCAGCTCACCGCGGACGCCCGCTACCTGTCAGTGCGCCCCTGGCTCGGACAGCCCCCGGCAGCGCCTGGGGTCGGGGGCTCAGGGTACTCGCTACCTCCACCTCCCGCCCCGGCTGCAGCCCGGAGGGCAGCCGCTTCCCACCCTCCTTCTCCCCCTGCTGGCCGAGCGCGCCGCGGGCGGGCTCTGCGGCCCGGAGCTGCCCACCGCCCACCCCCACCGCCCACCCGGCGCCCCGGTTTCTCCCGCTGGCCACTCTCCCCCGCAACTTTCCGTGCTTTGTTCTACGGCTGGAAATGATTTACGGAAGCGTTTTGGACAGGGTCTCCGCCAGGAGGCGAGAGCCCAGCGCTGAGATGTGTTACGTTCTCATCTACCCATCAATTATGGATGGAAACAAATAAGGAAGAGTCAATTTTGCATGAGCCCCTTCTCCGGCGGCGAGAGGCGTCCTGCAGCCGGGAGGGAGCCGCCGCTCGCGCCCGCAGCCGCTGGCTGGGGATGGTGAGGAGGAAGGTAGGGAAACTTATTTCCCGTCTTGACAGCGATGATGTTTGTTCCTGGTCTGCAGAAACTGATAGAGCAGCCGCCTTGGGTAACTTGGAAGGGCTTAAAGCTTCCTCTATCTTGCATAAGTCTTGGAGTGAAATAAAAGGTTATAAAAGACTTGGTGTGGATGAGAACTGGGTTTTAAAAATTTCTGCTAAATCGACTCTCGGGACCACCGCTGTCGGGAGAGTGTTTAAATCCTGAACTTATAAAGAGCTAAATGTCGTGGAAGCTAGAGGGGAATGAAGTAGCAGTATTAATTACAGCATTAGAAGAACTCAGGGTAGTACTCCGTGTTCTGAGGTGACCAGTCAGCAGCCCACGTTCCAGCAGCCCAATCCCTCGCCAGTCTCAGCTGGGTGACTTTGACACAGAAGGGACAGTAGATCGTTTTTATAGATATATAGACTTTGTAAACAGTAATTGGACCTTGTGTCCACCACTGTGGGAGGCTGCTTTCTCTCAAAAATAACGGTGGTGTTTCCAGTGACATTGGGAAAAGAAATGTCTAGGGTCATTTTCCCAAGAACTTCTGGCTACTGAGAATTTTAAGTCTGCAGTAAAAAGTCTAGTTGCTTTTTCAGGATTGTCCTTTCCTCTGCTTGATGTTTGGAGCAATAAAGTGGATTCTTTTGTTTATTTCAAGGCTAAAGTCCTAGGGAAAGGTTTAACATTTTTCTAAACTGGTTTGGTCTCTGTCCCTCAGCATAGGAAGAATTCTTGTTTGGAGAAATTTTTCCAGGTTTCGTCCTTGTAGAATTGAGAAAAATCCCCGACAGCTCAAGATGAGGATTTTACTATCCTTTTGGTTTAATAAACAATAGGTTTTGATGCTGGTTTATTCAAGTTGTTAAAAAATCCTAGTGCTCTCTTAGCTATCTAACTCAGGAGATTAAGTTGTGTGTAGTCCTGTTTAATGTAGTGGGTGGCGGGCATATTCTGTCAGGCTGGCAAATATTACACAAACATTTACCCGGCTTAGATAAATAGAAATTGTCAAGTAAGCCCTGAGATTTGGGCCTATATTATCATGAACTTAAAACATCTTAAGGTAAATAAACTATAGCCCAGCCATAGCTGGGTTGTGTTTTTTATAGTTACTGTCTATGCTCTGATTTAGGTCCCTAGAATGTGCTCTCAGAAAGACAGTTAAATAAATAACCCTAAGATTTCCAAAATGTGTTGTTTAGCAAACCATTTTCTTCCACTGGCACATTTAGTTAGATTAACAAACAGTTACTATGTCTTATTGGATCCTACAGAATATTGCTACCTATCTTCGCTTCTACTAGAGATGCTACATAGATGACCTTTTTTGAGGAACATTTCTGTGATGCAGGACAGTGTCACCAAACAGCTGATTAACTCGAGTTTGATTTAGATTTGTGGGCATTCTGCCCTTTTCTTTCTTTCTTTCTTTCCTTCTTTCTTTTTCTTTCTTTCTTTCTTTCTTTCTTTCTTTCTTTCTTTCTTTCTTTCTTTTCCTTTCTTTCTTTCTTTCTTTTTCTTCTTCCTTCCTTCCTTCCTTCCTTCCTTCCTTCCTTCCTTCCTTCCTTCCTTCTTTCTTTCTTTCTTCTCTCTCTTTCATTTTTTTGGTGCCCAGTAATAGCACCATCTGGTCATGTCTTCCCTGGTTTGATGGATTTGAAAGATGGCTCTGACGTAAACCTATTAGCCCTTAGAGTGAGGGCAACTTAGAAATCCAGTGGATTTCAGTTCACTGGCTGTTTACTGCACAGGAAGGATCTGTCCAGTAACTGTGCTCTGGGTAAGTGAGCCCCTACAGCCTCCTGTGGTGGTTTCTCTTGCTTGAAAGGCACACAGGCAAGTAAGCAGGAATCAGAGCTTTGATTCACAAAGATGCTCATAATTGCTAAGGACTTAACTGAAACTGGAGAAGTTCACTTCTTGCTGCTCCATCATAATAAACGCTGGTAATTAGCTTAGTCATTGTTCTTGCATATGAGTTTCACTAAGATACAAAGAGTGAAAAATGCATCTGAAATGGGGTCATTTTTCACCCTTCTGATGCATTTTATGCAGAGTTAAGAGCCTGGCTGAATGCCTAACCATTATTGGTGTAACCATAGGAGGTAAACTCCTTCCCTCACACACATCGCAGGATAAAATATTACCTTTTATTTCAATTAATAGACTTTAAGCCTGCACATTCTGGATTCATTTCTAGAGGAAGCAAGAGGCCCTTGGGGTATGCCAACCAGTCAGTATTTATTGAGTACCTGTCGTTTGCAAGAAGCTATGCTAGCCAGTGTTCCAACGCCAGGTGAGGCACACATGTTTCTGTATGTTCAACTTAAGTAAGAATGCAAAGAACTAGAGTGTGGCAAAATGGATCACTTGGCAAGAAATGTAAATATGCCCCTTTTCTTGAAGCGTGCCATTGAATCCTAAATTGTGAACACTAATCATTCAATATACTATTAGTGTAATTCACGAACTGAAACTGTCATTAGAACAGGGGAACTCGGGTGCGAATGGAGACTTCACTTTGAAATCCACCAAAGCCCATGTCTTAGGTTGCTGCTTATTTCATGAACAGCGGCCAACTTGTAGTTGGGGAGAAAAAAAAAAGTGTGTTTTGATTTATTCCCAGGACACAGAGAGAGAATAAAATTCATATAACTATATTAAGCATATCATAACCTTCTTCAGTTGAGGTGGCTATTGTTGGGCTGACTTTTCTACTCGGACCATGACGACGGTGGCAGTGTGGCTACATACTTTGGGGCGGCTTCCATTCATCCGACGGGAAAACTAGGAAGGGTTTTAACTGTGAAAAGCCACTATTTAGGTAACCAAGGGCGATCAAATCCGTGGTCCACATAGATACCACATGAGGTGTACTTATTTCTCAAACTTCTTGTTTCTATTAAGCTTTTGTTAACTCCCCCAGATTAGCATTTTAACAACCCTGAAGTGAACTTCTGCCATTCTCTCTACTTGGACACAGTATGTAGATCATCCATCATCCTGTCCTTGGCTACAACAGGCTGCTGGCTCCATCACCGTTGGGAGCTACACAGAATCCATCCGACTGTGAACAGCACAGCTGGCTACAGCAGTTTTTTCTTCCACACCACTGGCAGCATTGTCTGGCTGTGGTAACTAAAGTTAACACCCAGAACGGGAAGTTTCCATTGTTTGGCGACCTGGGCTGGGCCCCTCATCCAGTTCTGGGGCACACCTGCCGAAAGGCCCTGCCGACTCGCAGTGGCGAGCTCCACTTGTGAGAGGACTTGCCATAGCCTTAGGCAACCCACGGGAAAGCCTCTGTGGGCTTGATACAATTAAACCACCAGAATTCCAGAATTAGAAGAAGCCACTCAGACACCACTCATCCTAGACCTTCGGAAGGCAGTCTTTTTTAAAAAGGGAAAGGAAAGAATGAAGTAGGCTTTAGCCTGTGATTCCAAATGACTGAAAACAGAAAAAGACCTTGTCTAAGTTCCTCGGAGAACTGGGCATGTCATTGCTTCCTCCCTTTTCACAAAGAACATGTGATGTCCCTAAATCTGGGCCTTGTGTCTGATCGTATCCAATACTTTCTATCAGTTTTTTGTTTGTTTGTTTGTTTTGGGTGGGGGGGGTTCTTCTTTTTACTAAGAAGGTATCTGCTTGATAAAACAAGAATGACATGAGTTAGGTGGATACATTTGTTATGTTGCGAAGCTTTAAAAAGAAAACTTTTATGATTAGAAGTACTGCTTTTGGAGTTTGATGTGGGCTGGGGAGACTGCCTCGTACCAGCTGGGATGATAGGACGAAGATGACGGTGATGGAGAAAGAGGAAGAGGGGGAAAACAACAGCCACTACACAATACCTAGCACTTACTCTTAGTCTTCATCATAATTATATCACGTAACCTTCAATCAACTGCACAGGGTGGGCTCTGTTGTTATCACTGCTCTATCTAAAAAGAAAACTCAGGGACCTGAGAAGTCAGGTCATTTTCCTGAGGTCATACCAGCAGGGGGGTGGTAGAGTCGGGATTTGAACTCACTTCTGCCTAACATGTCAACCCGTACCCTTTCATCACTACACTGAATTATTTCTGGGAACATGAACAACCCTACAATTTTGTGCCTCCCTGATATTTCTCACATGTGGTCTTCAATAAGAGTCCTGTTTTGAGGCAAAATTTTATACCGAATGAAAGGATATGTACGATGTGGGGATCCTCTTAAATTTTAACCTTTTCTAAACCAAATCATATTGTTATGTGACTTCTTTCACTTTTATTCCTGGTGGCCAAATAATTATGACACACTCTTCTTTTCAAGTGTCCTAGAACAGCTTCTTCTCCCACCATTTTTCTCCATGGTAGGCTTTCCTGTCCAAGATTACAGTGGCATAGGACAAATGGCAATATTCATCACTCTCCACCAAGAAGTGCGTCTGCATCAGGGGGCGATTGACATTCATTTCCCTGATCTTGGCAGGTGAAGATCCATTATGTATCCTTGTCCCATTTCCCAGGAGTATTTATGGGCCCCATCAGCAAAGACAGTGAGAGCTGCAGCTGTTCAAGCTTTAGTGGCACCAGGATGGAAATTGTATTATTGACGTTTGACTATGAATTACATTGTAATATGCATTTTTCTTACTTATGGTTGCAGGAGAATCCTTTTACCTAGACGAGTAATCAGACACGCATTGTTGAGAAATTGTCACTCGTGCATCAGCATTTCTTTCGTTGTCCTTTTTTTGTTCAGGATTCCTACGGGAGGGGGAAAAAAAAAACAAATACATACTACCACTACATAGAATGCTGAAATTTAAGGTGTTCAACATATATTTACGGGAAAGAAATATGGGTTCGAAGAAGGCCAGTATGTTGGGACATGTAAAATAAGGTCTCGGGAAGATCTGCGATTACTTAGCCTATTACTGGAGTCTGTGTTTAAAAATAAAGTCAGGAGTTTCTAGTCAGACGAGGAGCTGGCAC